GCGTGCCGCGTGCGTGCGCGTGCCGCGTGCGTGCACGCGCGCGCCGCATGCGTGCGCGAGGACGCCGCCGGCCTCGTTCCAACCGAACCGGTTGGAACGGGGCGAGAAACCCACCCCTGCTCTGCACCTATGTATATATGAACAAAGATATTTGAATTAGAATTCTATTGTACCAATAGAAAGGTACAATCGGAAATGGAATGACTATAGAAAGAACAACTTTATACATAGTGTCTTACAAAAGATTTCGGTAGAATTATTCACAGATCTTGATATATTTTGAAGCAACTCCATATAGGCATTTAGGAGCAAGATCTAAATCTAGGACTATAAAGTAATTATTAAGTTAATACAAAGATCTGAGGAGGAAGGGCAGGGTGGCCACAGTTTAAAACATGACTGTGAATCTTTAAACCTATTTTAAAGCAAAGGATACCTGCAGTGTTTTCAGACAGAACATTTATTCCTAAAGCTATCTAAATTGCAGACCTTATTCTCCAATGCACCTCTCATTTTGTAGGAGAGCAAATTCTGGGGAACATTCTTCAAGCTGTGAGTTATTTTCAATGGTAATGGAACCCAGGTCATAATTTTCTATGCCAAATAAATTTTCTGACCAAAGACAAAAGATCCCAGGGCATAGGGAGAACAATTTATAACAAGAACAAACATTCAATCTTTTCTTATTAACATGTTTAAAATGTTACAAAGAACTAAATAAGTATGTTGATAAGCACCACAAATCTGGTTATAAATTCACAGTATACATGAAAACATTATGTAGCATGAAAATGTGCGTTCAGATTCCTCCAAGGAAAGGCCAGGATCAGTTTCCCCCAAAAATTGATTTATTGTGGTCAGCAAAGGGTACCACTTTCAACTAAAAATGCACACCAAAGAATTCAGTAACCTTTAATGAATTCCTACATCCTATTACACCTTTGTACCACAACGTTTTATAATGTTTATTAATTTTTACTTCAGTCTGTACCTTATATGGGTTCTTAAAGTTATTTCTTCATTCTAAGTCTTGTTTTGTATGTGTCTTTCCCCCTTTAACCTATTGGAAGTTTCTGTGCAACCCTATTTACCAACGTGTATGCTGTTTGTCTGTGTAGCAGAATTAAAAATTTCCCCCTTCAATTCTTACCTGCCAGCAGAACAAAGATTTGAGACTTCTCAATTCAGATTCTAACAGCAGCCAGATGATGTGGTAGAAGTCACTGGTTTCCTTCTTGAAAAACTGTAAAATAAAAATATATTTAAAAAAAATAGAACAAGATTGTTAATTGCCAAGGTGGAAAATCAAGATATGAATCCTTGAGAGTTTTTTGTCAACTAATATTCAAGAATACTGTGCCATAGGAAAGTGGAAAAATTACTTAAATCAAACTTCATAATATCATACAACATTGCTTTCCTTTTTGTTATAGCAAAAATCTCATTGCAGAGGCCTCCAATTTTAAGCCACAACTCTCACAAAAAGGTCCTGAGGACTTGACATTCATACAATGGCTATCTTATGGGATATAAAACAATTACAAAGCACTAATTTATAGACTTTTAACTGCTATCCTTAAAACCAGAAGGATGATCTCTGCTTTTCCTTCTTTTCCTGAGGATACTAAATGCAGCAACCCATCATCTTCCTTTTCTACAAAAGTTTATAGGTCTCATTTGGGGTCCAGAAGAATTGAAGAAGAACCTGACATTTTGCTCTGATATGAAGCAAAGCAACTTCTTAATTTAATGCAAACAAAATCAGATAGGGCAGGGAGTCTTGAGGACACCGAAGACACAGGTGCCTGTGGATGCCATGTTGGGAGATTCCAGCATTAGATAATTATGCATTTTATGCCACACTGTTAGTTAAGCCCTAATGCCCGAGGGACAGGAATTCCTTTGAATTGTGGACACAAAATAACATAACACAAATTTCTTCATCCTTCTACCTTCAACTGTTAAGAAGGACTGGGCAGAAAGCTATCACTTAAGGGCTTGATTTTCTGTACTTTTGTCGAAAGAGCTAAAAGCTCCAGCAAAGTACTAATCCAGGGGTATCAAACTACGCCCGGGGGCCGGATCCGACCCATAGGGTGCTTAGATCTGGCCATCCTAGGGTTACCTGGAAACAGAAACGGACAGCGAAAACAGAGCTCAGGAAGCCAGCATGCGGCCCTCACAAGCACCATTTTCGCTGGCAGAGAGTTACAGGAGACGATAGCAGCCGAAAATGGAGCTTGCAAGGGGGCAGCTCTCCCGAGCTCCTTTTTCACTGGCAGAGAGTTACAGGAGGCCCTCGCAGCCAAAAACAGAGCTCAGGAGCCCATTTTCATTGGCAGATCACTCGGGCCACCACAGGTGTCCAGACACGAGTGACATCAAGCTGGCCACGCCCACCCTGGCCACACCCACCCTGCCCCCCCAAGGTCAAACACAACTCTGACGCGGCCCTCAATGAAATCGAGTTCGACACCCCTGTACTAATTCATTCTACTAACCCTTGAATAGTGTCACAATGACTGAGTTCAACCTAGACATCTATGGGGACACCCTATGCATCTGCAAAATAGATATTCCGGCTGCATACAATGATGCTATAAAGACAGGAGTCGAGGTCAGGAGCAGATCAACACAGTTAATTTGCCTGGAAAGGATTAATGCAGTAGGATTCTGAGTAGATAAAAACCTCCTAGACCAAATAAACAGAACAATGGAAACCTTCACATATAGAGAATTAGAAAAGGTGAGGCCACAATACACTCTTTTCTCATGGATGTTATTTTTTTATACACCTTCATTTTCTCTTCACAGAGAAGCATACAATTCACATCTCCAAGCATTCTGATCTACAGCACAGATACAGGATGATCTAGTCACTGAGATCCAGCCTATTTTCCCCACATGCAGAATCATGATCTGAATTTAGTGATAGGAAATACACTGTATCTGTACTTCAATGCACAAATATCATTTTCCATCTGACAGGTTGAGCTGAATAGATCATTGTCAGGTTTTCAGGTTGAATTGCTCAGATGCATTTGAGATAATATGGCTCATCAGTATGCATCTGGTGCCCTCCAGATATGTTTGCATATTAAATGCTACCCCATGAATAGCAAATTCATTTCTAAATGTGGTTTTTCCATAACTGAAACCGGAATCTCAGGTTTGAAGGATTCCAGGACCTATGAACATATCAAAGACTTTTATAGATAGAAAATTAAAAAGATAGCTCAGCTGCCAGAAAATACTGTACAATTTAAGAAGAATATAGAGATCGTATATCTTGGAAGGGTATAACTTAAAGAAGAACTTCACACTTCAGATATTATAGAAACCACTTATTACTTCTTTGTAAATTACAGATTCTAGTACCTCTGGAAGATCCTTCCTGGTCTATTTCATGGGAAAAGGATAATAAGGAAGCTGCCTAAAGGAACATGACATTTTTGCATTCCTCGGTTTATTAATCTGAGATTTCATCATTGTATCTCTATTTAGCTTCTCTTTTTCAGCATTGCTGTAGTTTGGTATCTAATTATAAGAAAATATTCCCATTTTAGTTGCCTTCATGGCACAACAGCATCACCTAGTGTTTGGCAGAAATATTCCTGCAAAGATTTTAACAAATGGAATTTCTTCTGTATAAGTAATAATCATTCTCCAATTCCAATGGAGTCTCTTCCTCTCCTGTTTTTGAGTGCACATTACTTTTATTCTTTCCCGGTTTCTTCTGCATTTTCAGATTGCCTTAAATAATATTCTGCATGAATTTGGAGTGCAAAATCTACTTGTCACCCATTAGTTCTTACAGCCAGGTGAGAATAAATTTTCTCATACTTGAGAGATGTGGTACTGAAGCTGAAATAAATAAGGTGCTATTGGGATAAGGCAGAAAATCCTTTCAAATTTCAGATTTGTTCTCTCATACACAAAACCCACAGTGAGATTTCTTCTAAAAGATCCTCTTCTACAAAATGCAAACTTAGCCAGCTTCTTCTTGCTTGCCTGTAAACATTTACACATATCCCCTTTCATCGATAGCTTAATGGAAGACACCAAAGCAAAGTTATTTGCAATACATTCTCTGACACTCTTCAAGTTATGTTGGGAAAACCAGTCTGGAACATCCTTGCCTGAAATGCCCCAAGATATTGAGATTTTCTGGTCACTGAAATACTGTAGATAAATAGTTATTTTTGCCATTTTTTTAATGTTCAGTTCAACATTACAGTATTTCAATAATTAAGGAGATACATATTCATAAGCTGAACCAGTAGCTACATGAGATACTTAATATTGCAGGTGTAATCTATTTGATTTATAGCCTGCCATCTTTCAGGAGTTCAGTGCATTATACCTAGTATCCTCTCCTATTTTTCCCTACATCAACCCTATGACATAAGTTGGACTGAGAAGGTGATGGTTGAAAGTCATCTAGCCAGCATCCATACCACAAGGAGGAGTCTTCATAGTCAATGATCTTAGCCTCCACCCTGCCCTGAAATTTTATGTACATGTATATTCATTTATAGATGCCTGCATGTGAACCCAGACAGAGAATTTTATGTGAAATACCTTGGGAATAGCTACAGAAGCAAATTCAGGCATTTGAGGAATAAAACTAGGTGGGTTTGATTTAAAATTAATGATCCTATTTTATCTGGCTAGCTTTTTGCAGCAAACAATCCACACAGGTTTAGTAAAATATGCATTTGTAAATGAACTTAAAAACAACATTTTTAAAAACCAAGAAGCAGGCAATTTCAGGAAATAATGAACACAACAGGTGAATTAATCCATATGCATTTTTTCTTCTAATTCACTTTGGCAATAAAGTGTTTTTATTTTATTTTTTCAATTCACAAATGGCTTCTCAATTCTGAACAAAATCACCCTAAAGGAAAAAGCACACTTTTAAGTGGCAAAGGAAGAAAATGCTGTTAAATGTTTTACTACTGTTACAAAATCCAAATCTTTTCATTAATTCATTACTATGTCTTTGGGGAAAAACCTGCAATTTTCGACTACAGATTTCTTGGCTGAATTACTCTTTGTTCTTGTGTTCATAATAGTTCACATGATTACTGGATGATTACTGAATGTTCAGGTCATAATCAACTCCTTGTCACCAGCTAAGGATTAAACCTGGTATTAAACCCTAAGAATAGCAGTAGGAAAATGAGCCTGACTTCATTCCATTTTTAGCACCTGCAATGTAACTCAGCCATTGCCTGATTCTTTTTTCAAGGTGACACTCTGTTCCATCCAAGCTTCAACAGCATCAGAAATAAAATAATTATTTCACTGCTCTTTAATCATGCCCCCCCAAATAGACTCGAGGAAAGTAAGCCAAGGTTTCTTGTCTCCCTTTAGTTCTAGTTAGCAGATTTTCATTTATATCTTCATGATCTGCTTTCAATCCAACAAGGTCAGTTGTTGAAAAGAAGGGCTAGGGGAGACATGATAGCAGTGTTCCAATATCTCAGGGTTTGCCACAAAGAAGAGGGAGTCAAACTATTCTCCAAGGCACCTAAGGATAGAACAAGAAGCAATGGGTGGAAACTAATCAAGGAGAGAAGAAATTTAAAACTGAGGAGAAATTTCCTGACAATTAGAACAATTAATCAGTGGAACAGCTTGCCTCCAGAAGTTGTGAATGCCCCAACACTGGAAGTTTTTAAGAAGATATGGATAGCCATTTGTCTGAAACAGTATAGGGTTTCCTGCCTAGGCAGG